TCTTACAGGAGAAAGTAATTCTTATAATAAGAAAAAGAGCTTACATTTTTGAAATTAGGTTGGGTTTGTTTTTTTTTTTAAAACATAGTCTGTGGGAGAAATTATTATGATAACAATACAGTATGTATTATAACTGTATGAAAACTTTTATATATACAAGCAAAAGGAAGAGATTCAAACTGGGGGAAAAAAAAAACCAAACAGGTTTGAATGTAGTGTGCTGGCTCTTTTAGAGCAGGTGTTGTAGTCCGCACTTAGCTTTAGGCATCACATTTCATCCAGTTCAGGATGCATTCCTCTGCGGGATCACTATTCAGCCATTAAAGAGAGAGAAAGACCCTCCTGCAGAGGATGATTCAGATCACCAAAGCCAAGCTCCTGGCCTGAATTATCCTTCATGTGTCTGTGTCTCTTCATGTACTCTGTTCAGAGTTGGAGATGATTACACTTCTAATGTAGGAACCTGAGTTACGTGAATAAAGGCAGCTGATGTGACTGCCCTCCAAGATTTGTATTACAGTCCTATTATAATGCTTTCCAAATTCTAGGCTATCTTAAGAAATTAGAAAGAACTGGTTCTCTGTGGGAAGAGTTATTTAGCCATCAGACACACATTAAAAGTGTGCTTTCTTATCATGCCTTCATAAGCATGACTTTAGCAAATATAACTATGAATGCAGCTGTACTTGAATTCCAAGTCTTTTCCTGTTTCATTCCACAATGAATAATTAGTTTTCAAGGAATAGATTAATAAATACTTGCATTTTTGAGCAAATACTTACTATTTCCAAGTAAAATATGAAACTGGTTTTCTTTTTTTCCAAATCAATTTCTACGATATTTATGCAGTTGTTTTCATATGGGCCAATACAGAAATAGGTTAGAAAGAAATAGCTAAAGTGTGTGCAACATGAGAAGTGTTGTGTAATGCTCTGACTCAAAATACAGACTTTCTTGCAGATTTACTCTCTGTTCTTATTTTTTTCTTCGTTAATGAAATAGTTTGGCATGACTAGATTTTCTTCCTTCTCTCTCTGCCTCTTTTGAGTATTAAATTTCTTCCTTCCTCACCTTCCCCCAAAGTGAAGAAGCAGTTTGTGTTCAGATCTGTTTTAAGCCTCTGAACCTGCACATCAAATAAACCAAACAAGTTCCTCAGTGGATGAAAGATGGAGGAGAAATTATTAATGAGGTTCTTACTGACTCAGTTTGGCTTGGGAACTCAGTGGACTCTTGGGAACCCCAACAGTTTATTCCATTTTATATATTGAGACATATGCAAGGCTTTTTCTGTGCTGCCACTATCAAATGATGGTGGTGATACTGATGTAAAGGAAAAAGGTTCAAATCAAAAGATTTACATTACTTAACACAAAAAGAGCTTTACCCTTTAAACATGAAACATTCTCTAGAGTTATTAAACATAGACTATTAAACAGACTTTTTTTGATTGTTAAACCAGCAATAAATTTCAATAAAAACCCTTACTCTGTCCTTGAGAGTTGGCTCCCATATTGCCAGTGATACAAATGACAGCCTAAGCCAGCAGGTGTTCAGAAATGCTTATAGTAATATAAACTTAAGACATTTGCAGTGGAGTTCACTTAAAAGACAAGACCATTTTCATTACTTTGTCAGCAACTTTATTTCCCACTGCAGTCATGGAATCTGTTTTGCTAGAGGTTTTTCTCCCTTGCAACTGAATCTTGATGTACACTATGAAAGATTTTGGTGGAATATTTCAGTATTTGAAAGACTTTGTTCTGACTGTATTTATGCACCTTTTGTTTTCTGTGAATGTTCAGTTCCTGAGACTTACTGGCATCAACGTTCACTCAAAATGAATTTCAAAGATGCATGTGCATGTCACTATGGAAACTCAAACAGAAGACCTGCTGCTGGGATGATTGTGTGCTTTGTCCAGTTTGGGCATGGAAGCAGTGCCATGTGAATTATCTGAATAGTCACAGAGCAACTGCAGTGGTTATGACTGGCAGAAAATTCTTTGCCATTAATCTAGTGAGGGTAAGAATACTTCATGACTGTGAAATGATCTTAAATTGCAGCAGCTGAAAGAAGTATGATTTGCTTGTGCACATTCTATTAATAGAAAAGAAAGATACAATGGACATAATTTTTTTTTGTCCTTAATTATTTGCTGAACTCAATCTCTGTCTTCAATCCTCTGTCTTCACTTGTTGATATGTTAATCCTTTGCCTGTGACCTCACAGGTCACTAACTGGTGAGGACATGCACTAGGCTTTACAACTTCATTTCAATATTATGTTTGAGAATTGTGAAAGGGAAAAACATTCATTTACTGCTTGTGGAAGATAATATTTTCTTTTTAATTTACCTCTAGTATGGTGGATGAGAAGCTAGTTGTTCCGCTTTGCAGATATTAGTTAAGATATTGTTATGCACTATGGAAAAAAATGCTGCAGTGAGCCAAAAGTTTCATCTTTTCATGGCTCTTTAGATGACAGTCACATGTTCTGTGGCATTCATCATAAGGTTAGACACTTCACAAGCATCTGTAATGGATAAACAGACTGTAGATTTGTAAGAATATTCACTGTTTGGTAAACTGAACCAATGTAATTAGTTGATATCTACCATATAATTCCTAAAGTAGAAAAGTTTTTTTTGACTTAACCTAATATATTGCTCTTTGCAGTTCCTTTAATTCATAATTTCCATCAATCCATGCATATACTGCATTCCCCAAATTACCAGGTCTAGCAAAATTTTCTGTATCACTTCATTCCTACAAACCTTTGTAGATTTTTACTTTTTTTGTGAGAGAAACCATATAGTAATTTACTCAGCATCATAGTTCTGTAGTGGAAACTTTCTTCTGGGTTAAAGTGCTTTCTTTTTTCATTCCAGCTAGGTGAAGTGTAATAGGAAAAGCTTCCAAATTCTTTTTACTTTTTTTTTTCCCCCCTGCTCTCTTCTTTGGGGAAGCTACAGCATTTATGGTACAGCCCTTATGACAGCCCAGAGAAGTGGGTGAAAGAAGAAACGAAATGGGAAATGTGCCCACCTTTCATGAAATGGCACTTTTAAGCCTGGCTATATGGTACATGTTTTCTCAAAGGCTTCAGTATTCATCTGGGGGCCACAAAAAAGGGGCTATCACAAAAGGACTGGGAGTCAGGGACACCATAGTTACAACAGAAGAGTGATTACTCCCTTCTCATCAAAAAGAGAAGTTAATCACTTAGCATCTAGTTAATTGTTACAACACTTTAAACCCTTCAGGTCCTTTTCTGAGCTAGTTTTAAAGATACAATAAATGTAAGTTTCAGACTGGACAAAATCCAAGTTGTACCCATTTCTGGGAATAAAGTTAGTATTTTTTTCTATCCTTTAGGGTTTGATTTATTCATAACTGTTTTGAGAAATTCATGTGGTACAGTTCTGGTGTTACTGTCTGCTAAAGATTTTCCCTCCTTTCCTTTTATTGGCCTCATTTCTCCCACACACAAATCCACAAAGCCACAGATGCTCCGTTACAATGATGTCAGTCTTGCTACATGCTCCAGCTGTTTGGTAGGTACATTTATAAAGTTTAGCCTTTTACATTATGCCGTAAATGTATATTTCATGTATAAACATAAACCTAACATATTGCAGATCATTCTAAGTGTAATTTTAATGAAATTTCGGTAATTTTAAAAAATACTGAAAAGTGTTTAATCTTTCCATTGGCAACCTTTTCATAGTAAGTTTTCAAATTTTTTTCTTCTGAAACTAGGTTTGAATATTCCCTGCCCCCTCCGCTATTTCATCTTCTGTGATCTTTGGAAAAAGCAGGGACTTATTTTAGTAAGACAATATGTATTTTAAATAAAGATGTCTGAGGAAAAATATGTTTCTCTCCACGTCTTCTGAAACCCTCACTTAACGTTCTGTGCATTTACCAGCATACCACACTGAAAAACACCTAATTCCTGGAATTGCCAGATTTCAGTGATATTCGATATAGCAGATATTCTGTTGGTACAATATATAAATTCTAACTGATTGTTTTAAGAATTTATCAAGAATTGGGTGTGAACCTTAAAGCCTTTCTTTGTATTGTGTCCCGAATTTCAAAGAAAAGGCTAAACAGTGCCTATTTGGCTCTGCCTCCTCCCCCTTTTCTCTTTGGTATGTGCTTAAGAGTTCAACTCATTGTAACTATATGGATCATTGGAAAATGCCCACAGGATCCTTCCCTGGTCTCCCCTGGGTGCTTTCGTTCTTACAAGCAATGTCTTTATTTCTCACTCTCCTTTTGAGTTGCCTACTTTGTCTTAATTTGCATGTGGTGCTGAGTTGTCATCATATTTGTACCATATAGTTGTCATTATTCTAAGATAAATCTTCTCACTTAGGAAGATTTTGAGGCTTAATCTCTGTTTTGTTGGCTCAGTCATTAAATGACTCTCAAGAGGACAGATGAAAGCTGAGATGTTTCTCAGTAGTTCATGTTGCTTCAAGCAAGACTCAGAGTGAATAAAAGCCCTAATGCAATTGTAGAGGCTAAAGTTTGGGATCTAGAGTTCATAACAACCTTCATTATTTTTTGCAGATTGGTTTCCTGTGTACTTAAAAATTCCAGATCATAAGTACATGGCTAGGTATTCATAACTGAGCGGAGATTCAGGATTGAAATCTGAAAAAGAAAAATCTGATAAACCCCTTGGTGATTCACTTGTGTCCCAGTCTCCACATTAACGTATCAGCAGTATTAGCCTGTCCGTTATGCTTCACCTGTGTACCTTTCAGCATCATGTACATCTCAAAATGGACAACGATATTCTGTGAACCAAGAGAAGCATTGCCCAAGGCCCTCTACTTCTGCAAGGTGTGGAGATACAGTATGATATATAAAGTCAATGATATTTGTGACTATAATACAGTTGCTGACAAGTTCAAAACACCCTAACAAAACCCGTTGCTCAGAAATACAGTTAATATCACCATTATTTGATTTCTTTTTAATTTGCAGGTCTTTTGTTATACAGCAAATCCCAAGCAGCAATCTCTTCATGGTGGTAGTAGATAATGAGTGCTTCTGTGATTCTGTCCCACCAATTACCATGGCACCTATAGAAATAAGGTATATCCTTTTTTTTGCAAAGTTGTCAGAAAGAGATTCAAGATGCAGATATTGAAAGATTTCTTATTATGTAAAACGTGCCTTTCATGACTTAAGAACAGATCATTACCCATTATAAACTTCTGGGTCTGTTTGAAATTAAGCCAGCTGAAAATTCATTCTTACTTATTTTTAAGGAGAATTCACCATTTTTTAAATGTTTGGGGTTTTTTTTGAACAGCCAATAAAAATTAAGCAAACACATTTATATGCATCTTTAAGTATCATAAGGTCATGGTCATCTTTAGATAGCTGAACATCTTTCAAATTAGGCCTTAAGTATGTAGTTTCCTTATGAGAATGGAGCTCCTGATATTGGAACTCACAAAACTCCATATAATATAGATATCTTTTTAGAGTTGGACTGAAGTATTGAAAATGTTTCAGAATCCTGCGTTCCAAAAATATGAAAATGTAGCAAAGTAAATATACTGCTTGATTTTTAGTTGCCCCACTTTTTATTTTGTGCTGTTCTGTAGTTCAGGATTGGCTTTCTCACGTAAGTTGGAATTTATGAAAAGTAGCCTGCAGTGTGCTTTTATTGCAGACTTATGATGGAAAGACAGTTTAGCAGTGTAAGTGCAAATGATACTGTCTAAACTATGGATCACTGAGGAAAAAGCACTAGTGTTGACCACACATATCACCTTGGGTTTTCAAAAAGAGGAAGGAAGGAGCTGAAAGATTTTCACTATATTAATTTCAAAACACTCACATAAAAATGTACTGCTCAGAACAGTTCTCCTTAACTACTGTGTACATAATGAATCCCTTAAATGTGAACGTTTAAAATCTCAGAAGATAAGAAGACGTCCAGAATCTTGTCACGGGTTTCACCCTGAAGTAAGTTTCTATCTACTTTTCCTTTCTTTTGGACTCTGGTAGATGTTTTATTTCTTTAAAAAAAATAAATAGGAAAACTACCTTCTAAGATGAAATATCAGGAAATATTCTGAACACTCAGAACACACTAGTAAAGGAAGTGAGTAACATTGTAAGTGCTGCAAATCTTTTTAGTACTCCTGTAGACAATATCTGGACTTGATGCTTTCATAGACTGTTTTGTATCATATAAAAGAACGCGGTAGGATGTAAGCACAAACTGGCAGCCAGGAATATCTGAGAACTTAGTCTGGCTCAAGCAGTGATCACAAGATTCCTCATTAGAGGTGGCTGGGAACTTTATGCTGTTAATATTTTTTTCAGTAACTAGTTTCGGTATCTCACCTCTGATGCTATAGTAATTATGTTTACACACAATGTTGCTTGGGAGGGATGACTACACATATTTACTACTCTGTGTTCTATATAGTACTCTTATTTGTATAGTGCCAAGTAGATCTGATAGAGGCAGGGATGTGATTACCAGTGGCTTGTACAGCATATGTTCATAAACATCCATTTTACTCTGGAGTAACTTTATTTCATGCCAGTGATGGTGTAATGCAATGTAGAATGAGACCTAAAATACGGCATGGAGGGGATTCTGTAAAGCTTGTTGATCATTCTCACTTTTAGTCTACAATCTAAACTTGTTCAAATGAAAATATGTACCTGTATTACTTCCTGAGTGTATTTAGTTCATGGGTTTTGCTGTTTGCACCAATCCTCTTCTGCCTATGTAGTTTGGTAAATAATCATGTATTGTAATTGATTGTAATGGCTTGTATTTATGTTTCTTTGTTTGTTTGTTTTTCTTTAGGAAAATGCAAGAGAATGTGGTGGTGTCTCAGGCCTTGGTGCTAAACCTCCTCTTGTTCTTCTTCCTCTGCTATTGACGATTTTCTCAAGGTGACATTGACTGATGTGTTCGATTGGCATGCTAATACATGGATAAACTGTGAACTGGGAAATGGTGCAACATAGAGGACATGAAATATAGTCAGAACATCAGCATTTCATGATTTTAAACTGTTGGTGATATAAATTCTTAAAGATATGTTGAAAAAAGATTTATCTTTTTACTTTGCAAGTCATGCAGATGTGAATTTGGCATATGGTAGTCATGATTCATCAAAAAAGGACTTGGTAGATAGAGGTGACCATTGCTTTGTCCCATTGAAAACAATTTAAAACTGTGTACTTTTTTCAATAAAGTATATTAAAATCACAATTTCAGAGTGTATTTTAAGTATGATAACATATTTGTTCAATTAATTAATGATGAGAAGAGAATAAAATAAATGGAAGATGTTTTATTATGCTTTTTGGGTATTTCTGAAAAGATTCAGAGAAGATAATGTGAAGTTAACTTTTATAATAAGGCAGAATAGCTTTTATTAACAAGTCAAGGGAACACATGTGCATGTATGAAGCTGAGCAGGTAATACGCTGTGCTGATTTATAGTGAAGGTTTGGTTTCTGGAAATAGCTATAAAACATCTCAGCCACATTTGGAAAGTGAGCCAAAGCCTGATTAAAGCCTTTTCCCTAACTTGGGCAAGCTTTAGATCAAATTGGTTGATTTGTTTGCAGATGGCAAAATTAAATACTTTTCGTCTGTTACCATTTGTGGGAAGATATGCAAAACAATCTATATAAAAGAATGATACTGTTCTGTTAGTGTTCTGGCCTATAGACACCATGTCAGCTAGGAGAAGCTCATTATGAGGAAATTCATAAGCAGAGAAAGTTTGACTTAGAACACATCTGCGTCAGCAGGACTCATTATGGTTTTCACTGAGAATTCATTGAGGCTCACCCTCAGTGGGCAAAGATCTAGAGCAATATTTTTTTATTCTAGGCCTCATGTTCTTTTTGTAAAGGAAATTAGAAGATAAAGAAAATAAGATTTTTGAGTCTTTTAAAACCTTATATAAAGAGGGATATTTATCCAACCCCTAGTATAATGAGTATATTCCTCTTGTAATTGGTAGTAGTGTCCCTGTTGTGGGTGTTTGCTGAAGATCTTGATTTTTGAAATGTGTAAATCTCTGTTTATCTTTGGAGTTTTATATGAAGTAGAATGCTGTCAAGAGAATAACGTGACCTTCTAACAATACATGAGATGAAAAATAAAATGCCACTGTTCTAAATCTGGTGCTTGAAGATTGCAGTTCCCTGATTGGGAGTAAGGATGCTGTTAGCATTAGGTAAATGCTAAGCAGATTTGCTATGTATCTTAAGAGAGAATAGGGAGCTAAGCCACTGAGAGGGTCTTTGTTTTAAAGAATACTATCTAGCTTGTAAGAGGAAGAACTAGTAAAATAAAATTTCCACTTCAATACTTTAATGGGTTCAAATGCACTGGTACTTCCTCTAGTTCTGAAACCATGCAGATCTTTGTCTGGACTCATAATTTTATTTTCCTTACCTTTTTTGGTTAGGAGTATTTTCCTACAGACTTCTCTGTCCCTCCATGTTGGTCTCAAAATCACTCACTATGGGAATAATTTTCCAGCTGACATTCAGTCAATCTGTTGTCCTGGCGACATACTCTGTTTACTAAGCTAATTGGGAATTCAAGGCATTTTCTACACTTGGACCAACACAGATATCCTGTAGTTCTTTGCTTGGTTTTTCTCTGAGCACCGTTCCCCCTTACCCTCCATCATTCTCCCCAAAATTAATCTCAATACTTTATAAATAAAGTATTTTAGTTTCTGAGTTTCCAGAATGCACAACACTATAGCCTCATAATGCTTTTGTATGTCTGATGCTTGTTCTTTCTCAATGCAACTTAAATGGGAAATGTTTATAAACCGATACAGTGCAGGTGATCTTTCCTTGTTAGTAGAAACTGAAAAGAAAAATCTTTCTCATTAAAGCCATTGAAAAGCTCTGCATACCAATGGCTATCCTGTCTGATGTACAAATCGTCATTGCTCTTACAAAGGAAAGAAATACATTAAAGGAGAAAATTTATTTCTACTGAAGAAAGGTGAAAATACCTAATAATAAATCATTGTTAATTTTGGAAAGAGGTGGACAGTTTTATAATTAGAAAGGAGCCACGGAGTAACAAGAGAGATTAAAATATGTCAGTCTAAATTAATATTGTGAAAGAGAATAAAATATGGGTATGTAAATGAATATGGCTCAGAGGAATGTGACAGTTCATTTTCATACATTAAGACAAAGTTATAAAGGCAGAATGTATTGATGTACACAAACAAGTTACTATGTAAGGCAGAATAATCCAAATAAGTTGCTAAGTGTAAAAACTTTTCTTATGAGTTGCCATTTTTTTCCTAATGAAGACGTCTTTTTAATTTTGTATTTATCCTGTTAGAAGTTTCTGATGCGATGTGAATTCAGGTTCATAAAGCCAGTAGTTTAGGAGAAAAGAAGATGCTGCCTTGGGTTCATGTTTGTGGATCTTTGCCTATGCAGGTCCTCATATTCAATTGAGTATGTTCAGTTGCTGACATTCGTGTTGCTTTTTCTGAGTTTCAGACATCAGTCTTGAGTGCATGGAACAGATCAACAGCAGGCCAGTGATAATGCTGTGAGATCGCTATTTATTTGAACTAATTGGCTGCATCTATACTAGTAAAGTGTGTCTGGAAACATTTCTTCACTGAGGCCATCTGACTTAGAGTGGCATGTATATATATGCTAGTAAGATCGCTTGGTCTTCAAAATGGAGTAGCTGCAATATGAGCAGCCTATGTTCAAACACAGAAATGATGATTATGAGTTTTATGGGACAGAGCTAGCTGACCCAGGCTGAAAGCATGCCAAGGGCTGTTCAAAAGAGTTTTACAGAAAAGCTGATCTCATTCTAATGCATAGGAGTGTTGCTGACTGTTGTTAAGTTTACTAGTCCATATGTTATCATTAGCTCTGAAACACTGAGAATGTGTGAAGATACCGTGAACTGGGTCTGTGCTGTCATACCATAACCTGTGGCAGGTCATAGAAGGTGAAATTAAATTTCGTAACCTCACTAATTCTAGGTGCTACTCCTCTCAAATCCTAAAAATATCATGCAAGGTCTGACCCAAAGTCCAATGTAGTCAATAGGAAAACACAGACGTATACATATGCATACATAGAGCTGCATATATGTAAACTCTATGCATTTTTAATCAACAGGAAATTCAGATATCATCTATATTTTTTGTGTCCCTGAATCTGAGGTCAAATCCAAGGAGAACCAGAACAACTGTACATTCTGTTTCTACACAGCAAGAGGCATAGCTGAAAGTTTCAGCTTCTGCAGGCTTGGATTTTTTTCTTTTTTACTCTCTTTTTTAATGGCATTGATTTTCAACTTATTAGCCCCAGATGCCTTGTCTTCCTTTAATCTTGATACACCAAAAGCTGTTTGGGGGCTCAGGACTGGCCATGGACACACCATTTTCTAATGGTGGTGTGTGGGAAAACTGTCTGCCCGTAACTGTCAGTGCTGCAAACCCTCCTTTAAAAGCCTGTAAGCCAGAGAGCCTCAGGCAGGCTTCTGCAGCTGTGCTATCTCCTCTCATTGTTTTTGTGACACTGAGACTGCCTGACCTGCTGCATTTTGCTGCCAGGGCCAATTCTGCAATATATATGTTAGGTGAAACAGGTGGTTGCCTAGGGCCAGAAGATATTAAAAGCAGCAGTGGTTATTTCATTGCCTGAATGGCTTCAAGAGACTGTTTCAGTTTTCTTCTGACAGCAGGCACCCCAGAACAAGGCACTGGCCTGTTTTGCCCTTTGAGTTCAGAAGGGAAGATAGAAGTTTGGCTCCGAAGGTTTGCAGCTAGAAGACACCAGTTATTTGCATTTGTCTCCTGAGCCCTTTATGTCCTCCAAGGACTTTAACCTCTTGGGACTTTCACATCTTGGGACTTTCTGTGCCTCAGAAATTCTGACTCGTGCAACTTTAATGTAAATAGGCATTCACAATTGGAAAGTTTTCTGCAGAACACTGCATCAAAATCTTGCAACTGTGGAAAATACTAAGAAATTACTAAGTTTATTTAAGTTTCCTACTTGATTATTCTTTTCTCTGAGCTGTCCAAGATACTTCTGTTAGTATGTTTTTGTCTTCTTGTCCAAGTTCTTCCCCATAGTGCTGAAGGTTTCAAGTCTGTATTTACCTGACTTGCTATTTATCTGTTTTACAACGATGTACTCTCTCTGACACGTCCAGCTCCCATATATCTACCGGCAGAGATATGGTTCCCATATACAGCATCTTCAGAAGATGTCACTGGAGTTTGTCACAATCCAGTCTGAAGGCAATTTTCTTCTGTCTCATCTTTAGCCTTTGGCCATTAAGCTCATACCATATTTCTTCCAATATAATAATATTCTTGCTATAGCTCCTTGGGAAGATTTACCTCATCTTCAGGATTTACCTCATTGTCAGTCCTATGTTTCTTCCCAAGAATACTTTTGGAGCTGGATGTTATAACTTGGATATACCAAGTCATAGTGTATTCTTGTGATGCTCTGAGTGGAAGGATATGCTTCCAAGTCTCAGGCTTTTTTCCCTTCTTCTTCCCATAGCAACTGTGGTCAAGTAAGCAAATGTTATTTTATTGTTTGCAATTTCAGACAAATTATTTTAAGAGTAGACAGTTTTGCCTAGCAGACGCTTTGAAGAATTTCAAAACATGTTGTTAATCTAGGAAGAACCCATTGACTTTCATTGGATTAGAGTTGGAACAAGAGGCACTTCTGCATTATGGTTGAGTTAGATCCAGGTTAAAGGTGGTAGAACAAAGCTATATTACTCTTCAGCAACTAGTATTAACAAAATGTATGCCATACATTCTAAACCAGAAATTATACCTTACATAACATTCGTTAAATGCCAGATGACTGCTTAATGATCACTTTTAAGAACATGAAACTTTGATTGCAGAATTAGATCTAGTTGAAACTGAAATGAGTGTAAACAAGGCATGCTCTTTCATTGTGAAAGCATGGCATTCCTATGTATGGATATCTTAAATATCTATTTACTGAGGCTTCCTTTAGTTCTGTAAGTTTAAAAAGGCACCCTTAATTAAACAGAAAAAAAAACAATTAAAGGATGATAACTACATTTTTTTATTATTTTCTCCTAAGTTTGAAGGTGGCCTTACTTAAGGGCAGCCAGTAGAGCTGTGAATTGATCCAGCTGTCCAAGTGATCAGATGCCGATACCTTAAGAAGACAATTTTCATTTCAACATTTTTA